TAGAATTCTCCTTTCTGTTTTGCGAAGAAAAGGAGCTGAACACCTTTTGCAGAGAACACCTTTCTGCGTAGGCGGCCTTCGGCCGCACTTAGGGATTATAACCCTCAGGCAGTAGAATTCTCCTTTCTGTTTTGCGAAGAAAAGGAGCTGAACACCTTTTGCAGAGAACACATTTCTGCGTAGGTGGCCTTTGGCCGCACTTAGGGATTATAACCCTCAGGCAATAGAATTCTCCTTTCTGTTTTGCGAAGAAAAGGAGCTGAACATTTTCTTTTGTATTGATTTCCCCTGTATTCCTTTTTAATCATTGCCTTCTTTGTATGTATTGTTTTGTACAATATGGCAACACATGTTATGTGTCAGTTTGCAACCATGTGTTATTGTAAATATGCGTGAAATTCAATGTAATTTACAAGTCGATAAAAGTTTAATTAAAGTGATTTATATACAAGATAAAATAAAAGAAAAGTGTGTAAAGTATTAAGTACAGTAATATGTGCATTTATATATATAAAAGTATGCACAAATGCTTTTTTGTTAAAGAAACCAAGTGGAACGACTTAAGAAATTTTAACAACAAATAACTTATAAACAATGATATTATTTATATTTTTCAGTTATACATGTTTTAGAGGATACCTCCCTTAACATCCTGACCAAGTTTCATTTGTTAATTCCACCTGGTTTTCTTAAAACACAAGGTGCGGCTGACTACTAAAGCCCACCCACTTTGTTTGCTAATGTCATCAAGTTTCACTTCGTATATTTTACAATAAATACCAATTTAATCGCACTCAATCACCGCGCGTTTTTCGTTTTCTTTGCTTGTTTTCATTCTTAGGCACACGTCAAAAACGCTCAGAAATTTACTTTTTTCATTAGGGGTATTCTCTGAGTCTTGCAAAGCCCTTGCAAGGTGCACGGATTGCACGGTTTGCAAAGCTGTCCCATACGAAAACCGGTTTTTACCGTGCAATCCGTGCAATCTGTGCACCGTGCAAGGGCTTTGCAAGACTCAGAGAATACCCCTATTCTTTTCCGATTGCGTGATCTTGTTAGTTCGTTCATGATGCTTGTGTAGTGTATGGCGATATGGGAAAAGCAGGTTTGCAGTACATATGTTTGGCAAGCCGCTTGTGTGGTATTTCGCTTTTTAGTAACTGATCGATATGTTCAGTGGACCTACTAATTTAATCTATAGTCAAACACAAAGTACTACTTACCAGGGCAAAGAAATTTGTGTGGCAAT